TACAAATTGTTTGATCACTGTTCAGCACCAAGTGCAAAGAGATGAAATTTACACATATTGCTAAGTAACTTATGCTAAACCTAAGTACCATATATTTGATCAATTAAATACAATATTTCTGGTCAAATATTTGTTGTTTGCTAAATTTGATTTGAACAGCAAAATTTCACTCTCAATTTTAGACACCGATAATTAGGCGGCTAATGAACTAACCGTAGTGTACTTTCCGAACTGATACCTTTTAGAGGTGTCTGCACAATGGCAATTAAATTTTAGCTTTATATTTTAACAACTAAAGCTGATTATGTTCATCGTCACTTGTTAAACATGTCATGTAATGTAGCAAAAAGTATACAAAGAAAAAACAAAAGAAAAAAAAAAAACAGAAAAAAGACAAAAGACAAAAAAGGAGCTGAACGTTTTTTTAATTACCAAAAACGTGTATTATTTTGTCCAAGTTCCTGGTTTTACACTAATGATAAATTTTGTACTGTTCTGTTTCCAGTCTTCTTCTTTCCTCTCCTATTCCTTTTCTGTTTTCTTTTTTCTTTTTTTTTCTTTCTTTTTATTTTTTGTTTTAATTTTTTTTTTCAACTTTAAATTTATTCTTCATAAGAAAAAAAAAAACGGTTTTTGTTTGAAGGAAGAAGAAAAAAAAAAATAATGTTCCACAATCATTGTAATATAAACATCAGCAAGCAGTAAATGAATTGTTCGTTTAATTTCTTTTTTTTTTTTTTTCTACCTATAAATTAAATTTAGACAAAATTTTTATTTAGCAACAATTCAACGTTGGATAGAGTTACAACCAACAGTTTGTAAGTTGTACCAATGTACCAAAAAAAAAAAATTCGTCCAAATTTGACATATAAAAAGAGTGTATTTTTACTTCCGTTCTTTTAGTTCTTCTTTTCTTCTCTTTTTAAAATATTATATGTAGAATTATAAAAAACAAAAAAAAAGAAAAAAAAAAGAAATAAGAATGAAAATTTTAGTCTATGACAAAAGAATACAATATTATTATTGCACAGTAATCATTGGCACTCTGTTCAATACCTTATCTCCCAACGATTGGACGAAATTTACAGGTAATTAAAGCTTTTGGCATTTTGCCAAGCCGATTACTGTGCAATAAAAATATTCTGTAGCTTTATTTTTTACTGCTATACAAAATATATTACCAACAAATGCTCCGTAGGTTTATTTTTACATATATACCAACACTGATAGCATTAATAATAAAAACTGATAAGGATATTTATTAATAGAGCCATAATGACCAAGTGTATATTAAGTTTTTTATGCAAAAAATTTGTTTTAATTTGTTTATTTTTTTTCAATGTTTTTAATAATTATATATATATGTATTTTTCTTTGATAAATAGGAGTGTTGTCTCTATGGACAGTATCATAAAGAAAAGATGAGAAAGAAAAATTAAACCAAAAAAAAAAAAAACAAGAATCCGGTGACAGTTCAGCGCTTAAAGTGAAACAATTTAACTGCTGCTTAAATTAGAATTAAGTTTAACAACAACAACAACAACAACGAAAAAAAAAAAAAAAGACTGCTTAATGATAGTTACAGTTCAACAAAACTGTAACTGTCGTTGAGCAGTATAGATGTTTTCTTTTTTTTAAGATAAATTTTAATTAAAATTGAACTGTTGCTGAAGTTTAGTTGAAAAAAGACTAATGGCAACAAAATACAATCTAATAACTGATTTGATTCAGTAGTGAATTTGAAAAAAAAAAAAGTTAAAAAAAACAGCACTGCAAGAAAAACATTTTTTCTTTATTTCTTATTTTCACTTTTTGTCTTAGTCTTAGTCTTGAGAACAATAAAAATAAAAGAAAAAAAAAAGGGAACAACAACATAAAGAAGCACTCCTTATCTTTATGGGTATTTTATTCAGTTTTTCTTTCTTTTTTTGTTGTTGAAATGTATGATAAAAATTAGCTACAAAAACAGAAGAAAAAGAAAAAAACAACAACAAAGAATATTTATAACTTTACCAAAAAAATGAATAAATTAATAAATAAATGTTAAAAATGCAAAAAAAAAATACTATATTATTATTTATTAATTACTTTTTTTTTTCTGGTTAAATGTCTTAAATTTTCCACTGTACAGTTTGTTGTTGTTGAATTTGAAATTTTTTTTTTATGCGCAATCATAAAGACCCAAAAAGATTAACTTAGTTTAACGGTTATCGTCAGCTTTTTTTTTTCTCCCTTTACCTATTTCAATATATATAACCTCTTTTTAAATGTTGTTGTCGTTGTTGTTAACTGTTTGGTTTGGTTTTCATCAAAATAGATTGCAACAAACAAAGTTTAATGGACGAATATATATATATATATATATATATATATATATATA